GGACTCCGGGCGGGCCCGGCGCCGCAGCCAACCCCACTTCCAGCTGTCCCGGCCGCGCGGCCTGACGGCTTCTCTGCGACCTCCGAGCTCCGGGTCCCCGAGGCCAGGATGCGTCCCGCACTGGCGGTACCGCCGCTGTGGCTGCTGCTCGCGCTCGGCCCAGGTGAGCGGGTGGATGGGGGTGCGGGGCGGGGGCTGCGCCCCGAGACGCGGCTGCTGCCGCGGGCTGCGTGGAGACGCGCGTGCACCCAGACACGCTCGCACCCGGACATACTCGCACACACCCCCTCTGCGCCGTCGGAAGCCCCGCTGTGCGCCCCCTGGCGCCCCGAGGCCGCAGCTCCCTCCGTGTGGCTCCTGGACACTCCGGGTTTGGAGTCCCCGTCCTGCGCCCACCTCCCCGTCCAGAAGCGCCGCGGTCCTGGCTCCGCCTGGCCGGCTTCAGCCCCCGGGCCCTTCGGGCCTCGCGGAGTGCCCTCCCCGGTCCCCCCATCCCCCTCCAGTCCTCCTCCTTTTCGCGATCCCAGGGCTCGGGGACCGCCTGCAGAGGCGCCGCCGCTGCAGACGCAGGTGGGGACCCAGGCCGGGCTTCCCTTGCAGGGCTGGACCAGCGGGAGCCTCCGCCTCCCTCTGAGCCCAGGGCGCCTGGCGAGAAGTTTAGGGTGTGTGTGTGGGGGGGGGTGTACGTGGGATCCTGAGGTCTGAATCCCTTTAGAAGCAAAACAAACACAATAGTCTTTGATTTTCAAGTATTTGTACAAAGAAGATAAAATGTTGTGAACTCTGCCACGCTGAGGCTGACACCCTCCCGGCCCGGTTCTGCAGGCTGAGCCCAGCCCAGGTCCAGCCTGCACCGGCTGCCCCAGCGCAGAGCCGGGGCGGAGCCGTGAGTCCGCCGGTCGCACTGTGTCGCTGTGTCGGAGGCCCACCAAAGTAGACGGCAGGTGCCTGAAAGTCTCAAAGTTACTGTAGTAAAGGACAGGTTGCCACGAATCCCCCCTCAAGACGACTGTCCCTTGCTTCAGACACACGCACACACACACACACACACACACACACACACACCGCCTCTCTCTCCCTCCTCCCTCTCTGTGTCCCTACTTTCCCAGCATTCTGCCGCTTTCTGAAGCGATGCTGGAAGTTTGCCCGAGTGTCCTACGGAGGTGCGCTAGGACACATGGTGCCGCTGCAGCCGAGCGCCACCAGACAGGCAGGATCCTTACCCACCTGGGCCCCTGAACCCACATCCTGCGCCCAGGCTCTCTCTCAGAGCCGAAAGGACCATGAAGGGTGAATGTTTTCAATTGATTCAAAAGACTGAGGCAGCCACAGCGCAGCAACACACCTGTCGGTGGAACAGGGCTGCAGAAGTCGCCTCAGAAAGTGGCAAGAGCGGTGGGATCCATGTGTTCCAAGCCGGGAAGTAGCTTGCGGGAGGTTACCAGCCAAGTGTCTCTTGGTGTAATACATTTTTAAAAGTGTGGTCATGCATAGTATTCCACCATCATGCCTCAGATTTTCTCCCTGAGGACATAGGAGTTCTGCGGGCGTCAGCTCTAGTCCTGGACTTCAGACAGAGGAGGACTTGAGGGTGGAAGCTGGTCCCTGCAACCGCAGCCTTCCTAAGAGCTAACAGAAATATAATCCGGGTTTTTCATCTCTCTTCAATCACACGTACTAAGAGCAGCGGCAGGAGCACGGCATCATTTCTTCTGATCTCTGAGATGCTGAGACTTGTTCCATCAGGAACAGTGAGATACTCTCTGGTGGAATGTGCTGCCGCGGGCCATGAAGTCGTGTTCAGACTTTAATCAGCGTTTCATTAATGAGGACAGCTCCAGGCAGGCAAGTGGAGGTGATTTACCATGACATCTGTAGAACTGTTTCCTGGGCTTATTTCTTCTTCCTGGTCCACTTATTTTCTTGTTGAAGGAACAAGTTTTTTCTTGTTTTAAAAGGATTATAATAAAGCGTTGTCGTTTGTGATGCCAGTTTAGCACCATCAAAAAGCAGCCTTATTTTTGATACCTTGTGTATTTCAAGTTAATATGAACACTTGAAATCTCTAGGTCAGCAGTACTGAAAAATTTTGTGTCATTTTTCTAACTATAAAATTTTAGAACATTCAGCATCCCTCAACACATACACAAACAGCTCTTATCAATTATGCAAAATACAGTTGCACTGTATAAATACATCCAGAAGTTAGAGTGGTAAAGGTGAGTGTGTTTACGTGTTTGTACCCCTCTTGCATGTGTGTAGCCACTCAGAGACATGTCACCCACAAATCCCATTTTAACTCAGATTCAAATTTGCTTTCCCTGAATCTGCTCATACAGGCTGCCCTCTTACATACTTTTCATCATTTAGCAGCAGGCGGAGGATGCGAAGGAGAGGCTATAAGAGGGTCACATAGTTTGTAAACAAAATACAAGTCCTTAGCGAGAAGGCAGCTGTAACTAAGGCAACTGTAACTTAGTGAATCCCCACATACAGTCCCCAGTAAGTTAACACACCAAGGAGTCCTTCCACCTGGATTCTGGTTTACATCTCTCTTCACTGCTTCTGGAACTTTCTGAATGATCAGCCTTCTCCCCCTAATATTACAACTCCAGCTCAGGCTGTAATTAGTCTAATTTCCCTCCAGCAATGCCTTCCCTTTCAACATTTAATTTCTCCCTGCCTCTGCTTCTGTTTGTTCTCTGCTTTTCTCCTCATCTGTCCTCTTTCCATCTTCATCAGAGACCCGCTCTTGGTGCCATTCCTGGTTGAGGTTTGCAGGTTTCTGTCTCAGAGCTTCATCCTCGTGCTCCATGTTCTCTCTGGACCAGAGCCCTGACTGAATCAGGGTCTCCATTGCCCTCTCTCAAGTTCCAGATTCGTGTTTCCACAAGCCAGCAAGCTTCTCCATCCAAATATCCTATGAGCTTATCAGACTCAACGTTTCCTAAGTTGAATTCGACACTCTCAAATTTCCTCCTCTGTTGGGCATTAATGTCGTTGCAAGCAGGGGAACTTGGGGCTGGATTCTGTGCTCTTGGTTTTGGCCTATGCAGATCTCACTGGTTTCTCCCAAATCCGTGCAGATTCTGCTACTGCACCCCTCAGGCCCTCACCTTCTTGACCTCTTAAACTACCCTTCCTATTTATCTTTCTTGTTCCTCCAGTTCATTCTCCTTGTTGTCACCAGTGTCGTCTTCTTAAAGTGTTTATTGGTGTCCAATACTTTGTTCCCTGTTTCCAGTACTCCTCGGTTTCCCCTCAGGCCTCATATCCTTCTTGCACGCTGCCCCTTCTTGCACAGAGCATGTTCTCTGTGCATGGCACACACATGCGCTCCAGAGCCCTGCAAATAGAGCTGTGTATAGCTGTGTTGCAGCTGGACCGACGGTACCATGCTTGAAGCTGAAATACTTCCCAGGCTGTCCCTCTGCCTTTATCAGTTGTTGCTTTCCCTTTCACCTCTTTGCCACCCACCATTCGCTTTCAGAAGAAGTGTTGCCGAGCATACAGGTGGGGCAGTTCTTCTTCTTAGCAGAAGGGAAAGCTTGAGGCAGCCCCTCTTTTCTGGGCCCCAGTGTAAACCATCTCTCTGCTCTCCCTGCTGAGTCCGCAGCTCCCCTAGGCCATCTTCTGACATGGTGAGCTCCCCCACTGCGCTTTCCCAGCGCTACCTCCCAGCCCCGCTGAGCTTGGCTCCTGGGCCTCTGTGAGCTGAAGGGTGGGAACTCAAGGCTTCATGGCTGGAAACACTCATGTGTTCTGATGTGCAGTGCGGTCAGCAGGGGATGCCTAAATATTGTCACGCTTCCCCCTGGCTCCTAATGAATTTTAAATTCCATTGTGAGATGGGCACTGAGACAGGTCCCTTTCAGCGCCAGGTCAGCCACTAGGTCGGCTTGGATGAGTTCGTTCTTGGTGGATGAGGACAGCTCCCTCTCTGCATGTGCCCACAGTCTTGGGGATAGAGAAAAGCAGGCGCCTATTCATGTAAAGAGGTGAGTTTCCAGCAATGGAATTTCGGATGTTCATCAAAGTAAAGGCGCATGTTCAGTAAGTGCATAAACAATTAAAAATTAAGGAAGAACAGGGAAACATTGGAGGTGAACAGTGTGCTGGCCTCATGGAACTTGGTGACTAACACCTCAGCTTCAGTCCTGCCTCCTACTCTGCAGCTTAAAGTAGTTCTGAAAGATTTATCACAGCACAGAAGGGGGGTCTTGGCCCTCCCATCAGCAAGTCAGCAGTGCAGAGTCGCTCCATCCAGTCATCATGCGCTCAGTGGTCTAGCAGAGGAACATGCAGAGGAATGTCACTGGTGAGAGACGAGCCCTGTGTTGAAGGTGTGGAGGCCGGATTCTGTGGAGGGCGAGGATTCCTTTGTCTCTTTGGAGGGTCTCCAGAAGCAGTATTGCTCTGGCTATAGAGAACTTCATAGAACTAACATTCAATCGTAGTTTTACATAGCAGCTACTTATGTCAGGCAGTCTGGTAGGCTCAAGGTTGAATAGAGAAAGTCAGAAACATGGTCTAGAGAAGTTGCATTCTATTTGGGGAAATACAAAGAAACTGCTTCAGCCCTGAAGGAAAACGTGCCTGGTTTCAGCCTATCGTCATCCTTTCTAGCGGAGGCCCATGTATAGAATTACTATGCTCTCTCGTACAACCAGGAGACCCAGCTATCTGCTACTAGTATCTGCTATGAATCCGAGCTGATAGTGCAGGGTTGGCTGGTGAGTCACGGGGGGGGGGGATCTCCTGGGGAGTTGGAGGGAAGCATTTTTATTCCTAAGAAAGCCCTCCCTCAGAAACTAGTCAGGTTTAGTTATGAAACTCAGGGCAGCTGTGACCCTCCTACAACCACGCTAGCCGAAGAGTAAAACCAGCACAGTACATATTGCTTCATGGGGAGAGGTTGGGGAAATGGGGCTTTGGTGTGGTCCTTGAAAGATTACGTGAAATCTTAACAAATTTCACATAATTTAAAACTTGGGTTTTTGAAGGGCTGGAGAGCTAGCTCAGCAGTCAAAGCACCTGCCTGTCAAGTGGTATTACAGGCTGTGCCGGCCCTGAAACCAGGCATGGTGGTGCACACCTGTAATCCCAACACTGGGGAGGCTGAAAACATGAGGATCACTATGAGTCCGAGCTGTGTAGCAAGAC